GGTAAGATATGTGAGAGAATGTGTAGGAGAAAGAGACAGTGAGAAAAAAGATAAAAGGTCACTGGGTAGGAAGGTGAAATTGATGAGAGAACCAAAGAAGACAGGATGAAAAACAAACAAAAACATTGTTGCCATCAGTTCTACTGGCAAAATGTGTTTTCTGTTAGCTACCAAGTTTATTGCAGATTGAAACAATTTGCAAATAATTGACTTGCATATCTACTGTAGGAAGCAAGCCTATGCCAGGGAGGTCCCTGTTGGGGGGCACTTGTGGGAAGGGCTAGCTCACCCTTCCTCTTTCGCCCCACACCTCTTATAGGGGCCTAATCCTGCTAGTTTGATACCTGCCCCTTGGACAATTAGGATGAACAACAAAGAAACAGTTAGTTTAGCACGCAGGCAGCCAGGGGCTTTGCCTCTCCTGGGCAGAGAGCTTGGGTGTGTGGCCTGATTTGCTTTTTTCTATAGGATATTCAGGATCTCACTTGTAGGTCAGAGTTGTAATGATCCTCCTGTTTATAGCCTCCAAGAGTTGGGATTACAGGCACGCACCACCACACCTAGTCTCAATTGCTGACTCGGTGTGTCCCAGGGGGCTGGGCCGCCACAGCAGGTCCAGGGATCGAAGCCCCGGCCCCTGTGCCTGCTTGCAGGTGCTTTAATCTGCTGAGCTATTTGGCTGGCCCTTTGACTTGCTTTTATTCCCTTAGATGTGGGCATAATTAGAGCACCACAAGATCCATCTCATCCTATCATCGTATTAACAGAGGCCCAGGCAGACAACATGATCTTAGCTGCGATGACTGTCCCCTGCAAGCTGCCGGGCGCTGCCATCCCGTGTGCTGCTGGAAAAGCGCAGCTTGCCGCCTTTCTCCTCTGTGCTCAGGGAGGAGGTCCGTTCAGCTTCAGCTCTGCCTACCTGCTCTCCCACCTCCTGGTACCAGATCTGTTTTGGTTTGTCCACAGGATGTATAACTGATATTCTATGATACCTAACATTATAGCAGAGAACATGTTTTTAGTATGTTTTTATTTTACATGAAAATTAACTGTTACAATAGAGTATGCAAAGGAATAAGGAATATAGACGAGAAAATGAAGTTTGCTTTTTTATTTATTCTCTTACCAAAAATTCCTACTTCAGTTAAAAAAAAAACAACAGTATAGAGGGGCCGGGGAGATGGCTCAGTAGAATAAGTGCTTCCCTGGCAAGCGCAAGGGTCTGAGTTTAATCCCTGGTTCAGCAAAAAAACAAAACAAAACAAAAACCTAATATGGCTATTCTCTATGATATAAATTTTTTGGCTATATTATATGCTTATTATAGTATAAACATTCAAAATATAGAATGTTTAGATTGATTAATAGAATCATGAAAGCTTCCATAAACATTTTATTTTGTTTTCCTGGCCAGGTCTACTAATTTATCATATAGTGTTCTTTTACCAATTTATATTGAGTCCATATTCTTATAGAATGTAACAGCAAAGCACATGAAAGAGAGATCGATACTATTGCATGGGCACAGCTCCAATTTCTCCTCTGTTCCACGATTCTTAGTGATATCGGTGTGATTTCTCATTTTTCTCACTGAGTACTTTGTCCCTCTACTAAAGAAATAGACCATGTGCCCTCACTTACTGAAGTCTCCTGGTCATACCGTCAGTTATCTTCTTTATAATTTTAACAGTTTAGGGTTAATCCCTTTCCCATAATTTATAAACATAATTACTTCTCACTCAAACAATCACCCTTTAACTTTCGACACTACAGCATTCCTTCTTTCTGTAACTTTCATGGAAAACAAGTGTTTACGCATACCAGTTAGCTCAACATGTCCCAGCTTTCTTTAAGAGACTATATCTGCCCCAGGACTCCACTCAACTGGCATTACTCATGTCCCTAAGGTGGTTTCCGTGTCAGTCTCAATATCTCTCACTAAAATTGGCTTCTTATGTTTTTGTACCAGGGATTGAACTCAAGACCTTACGCTTGCCAGGCAGGAGCTTATGCCACTGAACTATATCCCTGCCCTAACTGGATTCTTTTTGAGTCATATGAACACACTACTTCCATGATTTGGTTTCTAAAACATGTTATTCTTGAGGTTCTTCTGTGTTTTCCCCCCACTGTGATCCACGATCATTCCACATCCTAGTCTACTGTGTGAGAGGCCATAACATGTAGCATCCTGGAGCAAACACATGAGAACACTCATGGTCGAAAGAGACTGGACGCCCTGTGCCCTGATGGGTCCCCTTGAAAACTAAAGGAAGCCACTTTCTCATTAATTCCATAACATGGGTACAGCAGAGTAGTTACTTACACCTAACTCACAATGTATGTTTCCCTGAGTTATCTGGCATCTTAAATTAATCATGTCTAAGGTGAAGTCAGCATTTTCCCTCTTTAGTTGTATTGTTTTCCTTTTATGGAAAGGAAAATCAATAGAAGCAGCAGCTTCTATCTGGTGACATGAAAGCTACTGATGGCTTGTCTTTCGTCCTCATACTCTGAGGTCACTCCTTCCAGGCCTTTCTTACCCGACGTCTTCCTAAGCTTGCCCAGGGAGTACAGATGAAGACCTCTCTGGAATATTGTCTGTCATGGTTTACCTGCTTTGTCGCATGATATTCCCATAGGTAGCCTTGATGAGAATATAGTGGATGTCATATAGGGTGTCCATGAAGTCTTCTCGGCTCACGGTTCTACCGACTCGAGGGTCATCGCCGTAATAGTTCCATTCTTTCTATTAACAAGAAAAGAAGCCACTTGAACAAAACAGCACACGCCATTGGCATCTCTGAACCAAAATAACTAAGGACTTCACCTCTGTCATTTCAATTTCATGCCTCGTCAGTTGGCCATTGAGGGGCGCAGCCACATGTGTCACGATGATTCTCGCTTGAGTGGGGGTCCCACCCCGAATGATGACTTGAGGTTTGTATGTAGAGAAGCTCGTCTCTTCCCGGGCTTCAAAATAAATGGTGTACCTGAGTTTACCTCCGTAAGCCATCAACTGATAACAGAAGAGAAACGGCGATGATTAGGCAAATCTCTAGGTGGTGTGATTCCTCCCAAAGCATGTTTTACTTCATTCTCACGTGGCTTTAAACTTCTTACCTTCTTTCCTTCAAATTGTTCCGGGAGTTTCCAATAAAAAGGCTCCAAGTGCAGATCCTGCCCCACCAGCTTCATGTCTGCCACGATCTCCGGGGGCTGGGAGGCGATGCCTTTGGTCGTTGTGTGCTGCAGCGCCTCGTCCACCAGGGGCAGGAGGGTCTGCTCCGCCCCCAGCGTCACCTGTGTGGACCCATGTGTGGCAGGAAGTGAGGCATCCCTGGGGGGGGGGCATCCCTCAAGACGAGGGGGGGGCGCGGTCCACGCCTGTGCTGGAAAGTGCCCACCCATCCTGATAAAACGTGCTCACAAGAAAGAGGACTGGGGCCGAGGAGATAGCTCAGGAGGATAAGCGCTTGCCTGGCAAGCGCAAGGTCCTGAGCTCAATCCCCAGTACTGAAAAGAAAAAAAGAAAGAAAGAGGACTGCCTCCTACTAGGGGAGAAGATTGGAGATAAATCCACTCAGCAAGCTTGCATAACAAATACCACAATATCTGAAACCTTTTGTGCTAATGAAAATCAAATTTAAAACAAAGAGCTAAAGGAAAGACTCCCGGGGCTAGCTGGAACACGTGCATCCCCTTCTAGCTGGCCTTGCTGTGCTAGTGTGCTGCGACATTTGTGCTCTGTGCTCCCTTTCCACAGAAAACAGCTTCTTTCCGTGCCAAAGTATAATTTCTCCTTGACAGTGCTTCCTATTCCCCCTCGGCGTCATTCTCTTAGCACAAAAAAATGAACTATGTTTAAGGAAGAATTAAAAAAGCCATGTCCCCCCACTGCCTAGTGACACACGGTCCCTTTACTAGTTCTGAGTGTGCGCAAGGGGAGGCTTCTTAAATGTCTGCCATCTCCTCCTACCATCCCCAGGGCCCACCTAAAAGATGCCAGCAGGGAGTAACACGACAAGGCCCGGCAGTGCTTCGCTCACCCGCTTGTGGACCAGTCCTTGGGCGTCAGAGCACTGGCTGGTGACACCGAAGCAGTAGCAGCTGCTGCAGCCACGTGGGTTCTTGGCCTCAAGTCCAAATTTGCCTGGCTGGCACCTGTCGCAGCGGATGCCTTCCACGTTCACCTGACAAGAGAGGGAGCCCCATAGAGTTCTCAGCAAAGTCATGGGGGAAATCAATGTAAGAATGAATAAGAGGAGCACAGTTCTGCACTGCAATCAAACAAAAGACCACCAAGTGCCGGCCTCCCATCTCAAACGGCACACGTAGCTGAGCTCACTGCTACGGTTCCACGGTTTTACAAGAAGTGTTTTTGTACATAAATCTGCCCATCACTACGGGTGTTTCACATTGTTTTTAAAACTAAATGGCACATTTGCTGCAATTTTGCTGTGAGCAATTGAAACCCTCATGAGAATTTAAAAAGCCAAATAAAAAATATTGCCAGATAGTGGTACTATGCCGGGTTATAAAAAACAAAAATGAACAGTTAGGAGCTTAATCTATGTATTAAATTATTATATAATATAATATAATATAATATAAATGCACATATAAAACATGCATGAAACAGAAAAACATGATTTTTTTTGTATTTAGTACAGGGTCTACAAGGTCTCACTATGTAGATTGGACTTGTAGTGATCTGCCTGTGTTCAGCCTCTCAAGGGCTGGGATTACAGGTGCGCACCACCTAGCCCAGTCTCAGTCACTATCTCAGAGTACCCTGGGGGCGGGGCTGGCACAGCAGGTGGGGGATTGAACCCCAACCACTGTGTGTACCTAAGCAGGTGCTTTAATCTGCTGAGCTATTTGGCCAGCCCAGAAAAACATGATTATAATGTGTGATAACGTGGCATTGTCCTCTGCTTTGACTGGAGTTCTCCACGCCAGAAGTTATGACTTTCCTAAATCTCAAAGACTGTATTAAAAACTTCTGCCTAGATTTTATCTTTCTTTTTTCTCTTCTCCTCTCTGCACAGATTTCCTCTTAAGAAACATATCAGTGACACAGTTTTAACTGCATTTGTTCTGGACTGATGGTTTAGAAATGTACAAGGGGGAAAATCCCTCACATACTTTTTAATTGGCTGCTTTTCTACATCATTTAGCAATATTAATGAGGGCTGAAATTTGCCTGTAGTTGCTGTTTATAAGTCAGTATTTGCATGTGTCAAAATTTTAGTGAATGTCCATAGCAGTTATTATATTTTTCAGTGTATAGTGATTGTAGATTGGTTTTAGGAGAAATGGTTTTTCACAAGCTTTATTGTTTAGCTGTGATTTTTCTCCGATAGCACTTAAACAATAGATTTCCCTGCCCAAGTTCTCAGATTTTTCTTCTTTAACAAAGGGAATATATAAAGAAAAACAATTTGACTGCACTGTTGAAAATATATCTTCTGATATGTCTTAGAGAGACAGTTAGGTTTGGGTTGAAAATAAGTTCTTAACAAGCCGAGCTCATTTTATTTGCATGCCTATGAACATATATCAGTGAAAACTGTGTCAAGCAATGAGCTTTTGTTTGTGTAGCCTAATGAAGCAGGAATAATGAACACCGAATGAAGCAAAAACTGATTAATGGAATCAGACTCAAGCGAGGCTTCGCCGGGCAGCATTTGGGGGGCGGGTACCTTGCAACTGCACTGCCCAGTTTGATCCCAACAGGAGCATCTCTTAGTGTCTGAGTCACAGGTCGCAGCCTCTGTCCCCGGCAGGAAGCAGTCACAGAGAACACAGTGAGGATAGTTCCAGTGACCTGGTGTGCACGCTGTACATTTCGCACCAGAGAACTGTGGGCGGCAGTCACACTGGCCTGTGTGTGTGTTGCACTGGAAACTCAAGGACCCCACTGCACTGCAGTTACAAGCCTACGGAGGGAAGAAAAACAACAACCATTACCACAACTGCGTGGAAGAGATCTTGAAATTTTAATCCTAATGATGCCATGCTTCTATTAACCCATATTAATGACTTAGCTATTATCGGCTTTTGTACTATTTTAGTTTAGCCTCTCGGGGAAGATCAGTAAACATAAACATTAAGATTGTTTCCTGCATTTAAGAAAATAGATGATTATCCAGAAACCATAATGCTATGTGAATTATAAAGAAAAGATTGTATTTTTTTTCTGTCTTTTCATGAAAGTTATGGCTTTTCTTCAAGTACTTTTTATTTCAAAAATTAAAGTGTTGACAAGCTCATTTGACTTCTTTACTTAATGTAGTGTTTTAAGCTCTATGGAGATGCAGCCTACATCTAGTGGATAGAGAGCAGAAAACACACAGACATGATGCTATAACTTAAGCATTGTGTACTGGGAGAAGCATAGAATGCTGGGAGAAGCGTGGAATGTTGGGAGAAGTGTGGAATGCTGGGAGAACATAAAGGGAAAAGCAAGCCATGGAGCAGAACTCTGGGAGAACCAAAAGAACTGACATCTAGCACGTGGGCTTCGGATGCTTAGTTCCACAATCTTGATTTACGAGGCTTTGTTGGCGAGCTTTCCTTTGACCTTTATCTTACATAGGCATGCAATTGCTCTTTATTTGTATATCTAATACAATTTTTTGCTAAAAGTTTTGGAAATTAGAGTCTTTTTCTCACGAAATTATTGGAATAAAGAACATTTTCAGTTAGAGTACATAATTGAGCCAGAGACACAGCTCAGGGGCACAGTCCCTGCCTGGCAAGCGTGAGGTCATGAGTTTGATTCTGGATATAAAAATTATATTCATATATATAGTTGTTCAGATTTATCTTTGGTTTCATGCCTGTTTTATTTTTACCAATCTTGTTTTTAGGATCAGTCATAATCCTCACCAAGATGCCCTCCCAAATGGAACACACCATGGAAACCATGATGCTTACGTTTCACAAATCTGCTGGGGACAAATGCTACTTAACAAAGGAGGACCTGAGAGGACTCATGGAAAAGGAGTTCCCTGGATTTTGGAAAATCAAAAAGACCCTCTGGCTGTGGACAAAATCATGAAGGACCTGGGGCAGTGCCAAGAGGGCAAAGTGGGCTTCCAGAGCTTCTTTTCACTAACTGCAGGCCTCCCCCATTGCATGCAATGATTACTTTGCAGTACACATGAAACAGAAGGGGAAGAAGCAGGTGATGTGAACATTTACTCCTGCCCTGATGAGAGTTCCCCCAAGGCCATTAAGGAATCTGCCCCTTGGTTGCCCCTTGTATAAAGACATCATGAGCAGATCAGGACCCTTCGAAAATGTACAAATACCATCCAGTTTTCACTGGACAGAGAGTGGAAGGTTCATTAAATGCTACATAAGCTTTTAATTTTCGTATTCACATCCTTTTGCCCTCAATAAAGTCTTTTTTTAGTTCCAAATCTGAAAAAGAAAGTATAGAGTAGAATAAAAAAATCAAATAAAAATCATTTTTCAGACATTGGATAACAGAAAGCATAGACTTGTGAGGGACAATTTCTAGGCTACAACACACAGGTGGGGGAAACCAAATAAAGCCCAGCACTAGAGCTGAGTTGACAGATAGATCATAGAGATTAGGGAAAATAAAGGCAATATAGTTTATGGGAGCAAACACAGTTGAGTGGTCAAAAACAAAAACAAAAGAAGTTTGAAAGTGAAATCATACAGATGGGGCCCTGAAGTCTTTGGCTGAATACTAATATGTGTATATAAGATTACATTCTATGGAGTTGGTGCAAATAAAATATAAATAGCCCCAGACCTCAAAGAAATGTTGGGATAATTTATATTCCTGGAACTCAGCATGGAGAGACATGACAATGAGCTGACTAATGTTCTCAGAGCAGTCACACCTCAGGAGTGCAGCTAACTGGTGCACAGAAGGGCAGTTTTCCTTGCTCCTCCTCGAATAGAGCATAAAAGTAAAACTTAAAGGAATCTCAGTGGTCTACGAGTAACAAACTGTGTGACTGATAGAGTTTAACCCTCCTTAAAGGAACACAGCAGGTGAGAATGTTCTCACTGGTAGGGTGCTAGCCTAGCACACGGAGGCCCTGGGTTCCATATTACCGGTGGGTGTGACTAGCGGCTATACTCCTGAGTGACATGAGCCAGACCCACATGTGCAAGTATCATATTGTCTCCTTCGTGTAAGGTCCTGAAAGAAGCAAAACCTGATAGATACAGCCGATATAGTAAAGCAGAAAGAAACGGAAGTTAAGGATTAACCAACAAAGAGGAGAGAAAGGAGAAAAGATAAGAAAAAAGTAGGGGAAAACATGCAAGCATATTTTCAGGATGGCTGAGGTGACTGTACTAAAAATCGCCATCAGTCTTTTGAAAATAGCAGTTAGTGTGTAGAATCTTCACCTTCACTAACTCTGTGTGCTGGTATCTGTGATCTAAGCAACCACATTGAGGGCAGTACTGTGTAATGCAAAACCATGCTTAAATACCTGACATCTTGGTCTTCTAAATGTATACTGTTTCTAATGTCACATCAATTACTACTACGTTGTCTTTAAAGAAACTTAAAAAAAAACTATAAAAGGAAAGAATACAACAAATCTTATTTAAACAAAAAATGTACAATGTCTAGCATCCAATAAATTACCAGGCACATAAATAATCAAGTCAATATGGTTCTAACAGGAGAAAAATAAACTAGTAGAAATAATTCTGAAAGAAATGATGGAATGAACACTTACCTTAAAAATGTCACTATTTATAAATACTAAAATTTTTTTCAATGATGAGTAAAAAAGCAAATATAATGAACAAATTAAAGATAGACACAGATTGAAGCTAAAATTCAATAAATAAAATGTGATATTTGAAATTACAAAAATGTACTTGTTACTAACAACAGATTAGACACTGTAGGTAAAAATCAATGAATTTTCACACATACAAATAAAAGCTATAAAAAAGAAAACATAAGGAAAAATTAAGCCAAAATAAATATGAACTTAATAAGATGTGGGAAAGCTTCAAGTAGTCTAATGTATATATAGTGGAAACCAGAAACAGTCCCTGGGGTAAAATTTAGAAATAAATGTATAGACAAAAGGAGAAAAAATTTTTCCAAAGTTTATAAAAATTGTAATTTAACAGAGGCAAATGACCCAAATAATATCATTAAAAATAAGCAGGAAAACTCCAAAAATAGCTTCAGCACATAGATAAAAATTGGTTTTTACATTGTATGTTCATCAAAAATATCTTCAAAAAACAAAGGAAAGATAAAGACTGTAATGGAACAAAAAAAAGGAAGAACTACCCTCTGTAGACCAGAAATACTGGAAGCAAAAAAATGTCAATTAGAAATCTAGTTAATGGAAGAAAAAAATGGTATGAAATGTAAATTCGGATATAAGCAAAGCAATTAACATTATAATAAACAAAAAAGTCTCAACTTTAAAAATATGAATATTTAAATTAAAATCTTAAGATTATATTGTAACATATATAACACGAAGAACTAAAATATATTAATAGCAGAGCAAAGAATAAGAATGGAAATTGGAAGTTTACCATTGTAAGTTTCTTATGAAAAATATAAAATAATCTAATATTATTTTGAAGTACATTCTAGAAATTTAGAAATGTATGTGCCTAGAGAAATACAAATTATATAAAACAGGCATACAAAATAATCTAGAGGTGATAGTCATAAAACTTATTTAACTGAAAGGAATGTAGGGAATGAAAAAATGTATAGCAGATAGTGAAGGAAACAGCCAACAGGTAAGCGTAGGGAATCCAATCACACCAAAACAGGTAATTCTATTAAGTGAAAATGATTTAAATACTCCAACTAAGAGGCCAAAGTATTAGAATTGAATAAACAATTGGAAGCTATATTACCTGTGCAATTTTAAACACATGCAATTTTAAAAAGAAAGATGGAATATATAAATTTGAAGAAAAAACTTGCCACGCAGCCACAAAGCCATAGAACACTGAGAGGGCTATATGAATATTAAACAAAAATATGGGGACCGGGGAGATGGCTCAGTGGAATAAGCGCTTCCCTGGCAAGTGCAAGGGCCAGAGTTCAATCCCTGGTTCCTCCAAAAAAAAAAAAAAAAGACAAGTATTAGAATGCGGACTATGACAAAGGGTGAAAGGACATTTTTTCATTAGATTTTCCAGAGGGACATCACATTGTTAATATGCACACACTGCCATTGCTGCTCCAAAATGCATGAATTAAAGCATAAGAGAACTACAAAAAATTCAAAATTTAGTTCAATATTGAGAAAACACGTGGACAGTAGGAACTACTAACTTTCATGCAATAGTCTACCCACTAATTCCAGAATATATATTACTTTCAACTGTACCAGTTATAGCAATTAGAAAAACTCAGAAAAAAATCAAAGTAAGCAAAAGAAAAATAGTTGATGTAATACAAACTGTTAATGAAAAATTGATGATTATCATATCCTTTTAATGTCTATAAGATACTATAGATAGTGATGTATTCTCTTCTATTTTTGATTTTGATTATTTCTTCTTTGTGTTGAGGGATCTTTGTGGAAAATGTCAACTTTATTGACTTTTTTTTTTTTTTGCAAAAGAACTAGTTTTGGAGTCTTCTCTAGTGTTTCTTTTCTGTTTCATTGATTATTCCAACTCTATTATCACCTGGGAGAAGGCAGTCCTTACCCATCCATTCATAAGGGTAGCAGTACACAAATGCTAACATCATGAAACACTACACAAAGAAATGGATCAATATTCCCTATAAATGTAGATACCAAAATGTGAATAATAAGCAAAATCCAACACAGTTAAAAAACTAAAAAAACAATAATCCCTCAGATGAAGTAGAAATTGCCTGAGGAGTTCAGCAAGACATAAACATTTGAATACCAATTAATATTATTCATCACAGTGACAATTTTAAAAATAACATAGTCATAGCCAAAGAAGCAGATGAGGGATGCAACAAAAATGAATGTAATTTATTGATTAAAGCTCTTCGCAAACTAGAGATTTTAGGGAACTTCTATGAACAATCAATGGGTGTCTATGAAAAAAATACAAGTAATGACATTCTCATTTGGAAAAACTACTTCAAATTTATATAAAAATACAGCTAGGATGTTTGTTCATATACCTCATAGTCAGTATTTCACAGAAACAAGACAACAACAACAACAAAACAAAAGTCACACAGATTGGAAAAGAAGAAATACATTATTTTTATAGGTGACACGTACATGTAAAAAAATACTAATGAAACTACCAAAAATTGAGTTATATGTTCAGCAAAGTTACTTTATAGAATGTTTAAAATATAGAAATGTATTTTTGTCTCCTGGCAGCCATGCAACCTGAAATGGGACACCGAGTATCATTTACCTTCCTCTCAGGCATTGACAACAATGATCGATGAGTAATGTGTGTGCAAAGCTTGGATATCAAGTACTATGAAGCATGAGAAAACCTAGAAAGACTTAAGTAGATGAAAACTTATGCCAGCTCCATGCAATGGAAAGTCCAGTATTCTTATACCATTTTTTCCCAAATTGATCCCCAGACTCAGTGTCATCCCAATCAGAACAGACTTTCTGATAAAGAAATTGGGAAACTGAATTGAAAATTTATATGCAAATATAAAGTATGTAAAATACCCAAGGTATACTGGAAATGAAAAACAAACCATTTCTTATGTCCCCCAAACAATAAATCTAACCAAACAATAACACGAGGGCATGATTTTATTTCTATCAATTTGTAGAAATGACAACTGCAATGTAAAAGGCAAAATAGTCATAGCATGAGCAGAGCTGATCATAAAGAATGGCTCCACAATTAGACTCACTGTCCAAACTCTTCACTTTCAATGAGTAAATTCATTTTATTTAAATAATATTGCACTAAGGGCTTATAAAACCCTGAACTCTTCACCACCCTGACTGAGCTAGCTCCTTCTCTAATTGCACTGGTTCTAATGGCTGTGTATCACTCATTTTTTACTCTGTTTAAAAGCAGGACATGTGCTCCTTAAGCTGCTCAGCCTTGATGGACAAACCAATGAGCTCCTATCATTTTATGAGCTCTGCAGCCGAGCCACACCTGGACTGGGTCTTCCTGCCTAGCTTTTCTCTTTAGTATTCCTCTAACAGTTTCATCAGATTTACCTTTCCTGTTAATGTTAGGTACATTTCTCTGAACTTGAGTCTGATCATGCCAGTTTCCATTGTTTATCTACAGGAAAACAAAGAGGATTTTTCTAAACTAACATTTGCTAAAGATACGACTCTGAAGGACGCTTTCATCTGTCTCCTAAAACCTCAAGCTAGTCAATTTGGAGACAATTTCTTTAGATTTTGGAAAATTCCTTTAATCTTTTATTGTCTTATATTCTAAATTTGTACTTGATTATGTGTATCTACATGTAATATGTGATTCCTGGTCTTATTACATATTTGGCTCCTTTATTTTCCCTCCATTTTTTAGTTGTCATGGAGACAGTGGTACAAATGTGCACTTACTTTATCTTTGGAAGAACTGACCACTATCTACAATGCCTTCTGGTAGCTCTATATTATTATAAGGTATAATGTGGATTTCATAATGTCCAATTATAGAGCAATATAATTATAATTATAAATTATAAAACAAATTATTAAAAAATATCTATACAAAATTATGAGATGAAAAGCGCGATTGACTCACCTGGCAGCCGGTGACAATGCTGTGGCCCCAGGTGTGGGGCGCACACTCAGAGCACCTCTCTCCAATGGTGTTGGGAGGACAGATGCACTGTCCTGTCTGGGGGTCACAGTTGTTACCCAGATGGGCACAGTCACAGGCTTCATGGAGGACAGAGAGATAACAATGGAAGGTCACATAGTATTCAGTGCAACATAAATTTGATCATTGTTGTGGTAGTGATTTAGGTCATTTTGTCCAGATTTCATATTCATATGATTAATGATCACTGGTGGGGAAAACTCCTTAACTCATTCAGCTTCATATCATGGAGCAGAATTTTGCAGAGCAGGTGTCCAATTAACATGCATTACAAGTCATTTAATAATTTAAAAAGTTAAATCATTTTCTACTTTCCTAGTAAGCTTGAGCGAGAGCTGCTTTAACACATTATTTATTGACTTTAGTATCAGATACCAAGGTACTATAAAGTTTTACAATGTTATATGCATATTTAAGTTCATGAGTATCTTTCTACGATATAAAGATTAATTTTTCTTTCCTGATGATAACATTGACTGGGAATAAACCAATAAGCTTAATCAGTGTCTTAAATTTAGTGTATCATGTATATGGTTATAAATCACATCTACTGGAATATTCCTTGCAAATATTTAAAATAGTTGAGTTGCAGACATTTTCTAGACATGAATATACTTTTAGCTGGGCCTGGTGGCACATGCCTCTAATCCCTGCACTCAGGAGGCTGAGGCAGGAGGATCACCACAAGTTCAAGGCCAGCCTGCACTACATAGTGAGTTCACAGCTAGCCTGCACTACATAGTAAGACTGTTTTAAAAAGAAAGATTAACTTTTTAATCACCTGATTTATTTTTCAAAGGTATTTCATTTTCTTCACTGTAAGAATGATACACAAAGAGTCGAAGTTCTCTACCTATTTCACTTTGTCAAAAAATGCAAAACAAAGCCAGGCATGATGGCACATGCCGATAGTCCCAGCATTAAGGAGGCTGAGATAGGATGGTTGCAAGTTCAAGACCAGCCTGGGCTACAAAGTGAGCCCAAGGCCAGCCTGAACGGCATAGTGAGATGCTGTCACAAAAAGACAAAAGAAGTAAACAACAGCAACAAAACAAAAAGACAAAATAAAAGTAAAACATCTTTTGAGAAGGTCATGAAAGCCACCCTCACAAGGAACACATACCACTTCTTATCTATAATTGACCCAGTGAAGGAGTGTGTTTTAGTGCAGATTTTAATTGCAATGAAATGAAAGCAGAAGCCACACAGAATAAAGTTTGAATTCAAATGTAAGACTAATGTTATGAGAGCCCCTTTAATTAGTTCTATGATAATTAAATCATTTTAACCAAATACATTTAGGGTATTTGATTAAGATCGCTTTTTAAGAGAGCACCATTATCATTGCTTAAAGCACTTCCTACCAGCTGTGAGAATGTTTGGCACAACACTTGACACAGAATCAATGCTAAACGTCAGTTGTTGTTGTTTTTGTTGTTGCTGATGTTAAGGAAATTTATCTCACACATACTATTCATTAAGAAGAAATATGGTTAGCACTATGCTTAAATTTATTAGCTAAACATGTCTCTAGACAGTCTGAATCGTTGTTAGCAAACAAAAGTTTCCTAAGTAGATCTTTAGTGGAATTGTCAAAACAGGAAGCACATCGGAGAAATCATTTACTTTTCTCCTGCCAAAGGACAATGTGTATTGCAGCTAATTATATCAGTAAAGGTGACAGTGATAGCAAACATACAACACTGATATGTTAGGCATCCCTCTATCCAGTTGTTAGTCACTACGTCAACCAGCTCTTACAAATCTCTGATGTAGACATCGCTACCATCCAAAGGCAGCAGATGAATTTTCAAGAGAAAGTGAGGCCAACTCACGTAGTCAAGTTCATAAAAGTAGGTAATGTTTGCTGTGGCTACTACATACATCCAAGCTGTTTAGTGTAAGTCATACTCTTGATCATAATTTTTCTTTTTGTATTTTAGTAAGGGTCTCCAGGGTCTCCAGGGTCTCACTATATAGATCAGATTAGTAGTGATTCTCCTGTTTTCAGTCTCCCAAGTTCTGGGATTACAGGTGCATGTCACCATGCCCAGTCTCAATCTCTGTCTCAGTGTGCCCCGGGGGCAGGGCTGGCACGGCACATCGGTGATAGAACCCCGACTGCTGTGTCTGCCTAAGCAGGTGCTTTAATCTGCTAAGCTATTTAGCCAGCCCATCTTGATCATAATGTTATCCATTCTGATTTGTGCTTTTCCTATTCTGTTTCTCTGGCTTAGAAGGATGATAGTTCTGCATTTATAAAATGTTACCATCATTCCATAATTTTAGATAATAGTCTTGGTTGGTTTATAAATCTGGTTCAAAGCTCTATGAGAACATATAATATTATTACATTAATTCATATTATGGAAGAATGTTATTGAGAAATAGACTTAAAGAACAGAGTGTATTTTAAAATGAAGCTTTGTGTGTGTGTGGGGGTATTTTTTTAGTATACACAGATGTTTGTTTAAATATTGCATACAGTCCGGGCATGGTGATGTACATCTGTAATCCCAGCACTGGGGAGGCTGAAAACAGGAGGATCACTACGAGTCTGAGCTGCATAGTGAGACCCTGTACCAAATAAATAAAAAAATAAATTAAACAAATTAAATATTGCATAAAGATTCTTAGAAGACCTACAATGATGAGATTCAGAATAACTTACAATGCCTAGTTTGTGATATGAAGCATACATCTAAAGTGCTGAGGAATGTCTGAAAGACACTGATTCTCTAAATAACTAAATATTAATCCAATTGATTCTCACATAGATTTTCTATAGTCAATAATAATATTTGGAAATCTTACCATGATGGTGAGAGTACAGTATTACTTACTCATTCTAATATGTGAAATCGATTTGTAACAACACATATTAAAATTCAGGAGTGTCACTAAAATTCAGCCAATAAGTTTAGTAAGCAAAGGTGAGATCCAACCTCATGCCTGGTGCAATAGGACTGACTCTAAATTGTTGGTGTGAACCTCAACACTATGTTCAACTTCAAGTCGTCTCTAGCACACTAACCAGTGTTGTCCTTTCCCATGATTTGTGCACAACCTAGGACACACCTATTGCGACTCCTGTCAGAAACACCTACCCGCATTTTCCTATGAGCTAAATATCCAGATGCATGCTGTTGCTCTCCCACCACATCGCAGGTTTTAAGGCAGCAAAATTGTAGGTAAAAACATTTTTGTACTATAAAAAGTAATTTCCTTGATCTTTATGTCCAGTTTTTACTAGAAAAAGTTGAAATAGCTTGGAAGTAGAGTACAACCTAACATCACACACACACACACACACACACACACACACACACACCCCACACAGAGCTGAACACTGGGCTCTAGAATGGGATAGTCATTGAGGAATAGGCCAAAGAAAGGTCTCAGTCAGAGAGGAACACCAGGCTTGGGACCTGCAGAGAGAACGTCTGTTGCATAGTTGCAGGTATAGTTTCTTGTTAGGCATTGTTTCCAGTTGCAATGTTGTATCACATCTTTATTGTCAATGCCCATTTCCTTTAGTAGAAGTAATTTTATGGACACGAGCTCACCAACACCAAAGAACGGACGGACACCCGGACTCTGATCTCACACACCTGTGCAGCCTCCCTCTTGGAAGTTGAAGTAGCCACGGGCACAGTGGTCACACTTCTTCCCTGCGACTCCAGGCTGGCACCAACATTGGCCGCTCTCTTCACAGTCGAATGATTTGGACCCAAAAGAATTACAGTTGCAGGGAACACAGCCCCTTCCAGATTGCAAGCCAAAGGTCTCAGGCTGGCACAAAATAGAAAAGAGGAAGGTTAACTGTCAGTCACTGAACTCTCTAAGAAACAAGATGATGCACGCGATCACGTGATCAGGCAGGTCGTGGGGAACCTACAGGCTGCCTGCTGTATTACTCGTGCTGGTACCCTGAGCTGTCCTTTAACCAGGTAGCTGTTCTCTATGACATCCAAAGTGAAAAATGGAACTGCCTCACAATGTCATCAAAATTAGTGGGAAAATGAAGAGTATCCTTTTGTCCTTTTTCCTCTGGCTTTCTCTGTGTGTCCCAAGATTCTAGCCAAAATGTGAACTATGTCATAGATTGTAGTTCTAGCTTTAATTTGCAACTTTACTCACTTTATTCCTAGTAAATAGAATTGATTTCTTTCAGATCTCATGAACCCTTTCATCCAGGTACAAATGCTTTCCTCTCTATTGACTGGCAATCTAAAGTTGAAGTAATATTTTCCCCCTGATATTTGATCTAATTTTGTCATTGAACCATCAATACTATTAATCATCCCTATAGTACACACAATATAAATATAATTTACAGATTGTGCCTGTGCTGACCAAATAATTGACCAGATGACCATCTAATTTCCTGGATTTCATTCTAATAAGTGAAATCAATTTGTGACAACACATATTAAAGCACTAAATGAGGAAGGTTAAGGGAAATTTTCAGGCTCTGATGAGTTATTAATAAAGCATATTCTGCATCCATCTGAACACATCATCTTCTATGGTCAAGATTCTATTACTGGACGTGGATAACTTTCTGGGGCTGCAGACTAGCAGATTATGCTGACTCTGATAGAAAATGGAGATGGATTCAGAATTCTCTCCTATCAGAAAAATGAAAAGCATATATCCTTCTTAAAGTACATCATAGCTGTCTGATTAAATAGAAAGTAAGTCACATTATGATATGTTAATCTGGGAAAATTAGTCTCAGTAATTACTTCTTTGTAAAAATAATTCTTATTTTGAAAAATTAGACCTAATAATTACTTCTTGGTAAAATTAAATCTTGCCTCTAAATGTGAATCATCCAAAGATGAATGAATAAGCCTTAGTATGTATTTTTGCTGCTGCTGTTAGCAGTATTAACAGTAAATTTGAGAAATAAAACTCACACTGAACATTAGACTTTTAAAATGATTAGCTAAGAATAGTTTTATAGTTTAAATGTAATGCGGGTTGATTTTTTGATGATCATTTTAATTTTTACATTTACTGCTGACTTGATTTTCCTTCTTAGTTATAAATCAGATCTTATTTATCAAGAAGAAAAGTTGTAGCACTTCCAACTAAGTGACATGAGTTTGAGAGGAAATTCACCTGTATGATGGAAAACCAAACACATAATTCTTAATGTTCATAAAAAGAATTCAATGTAAAATTTGGGTCAGTGACCTGGACAAATGACCAGATATTGGAACCACGATTACAGCAACAGCGTGTTCACTGCAGGGTTATGTGTCATAATGTGTAACTACAGAGACAAGGAGGCGTTCAGTGTTAGTGGACTAGCGACACTGTGGTACATCCGTGCTGTAAGGGGAAGGCAATAGTGTAAATGTACTCTGAAGCACTTTTGATAGTAGGAATACAATTAATATCGCATTAAGTGAAATTTCTAAAATGAAGCATATAAAGCTGTATGCGTGTATGATTCCAACTACATGTCTATACGTATTTTCATATGAAAATGTTCAAACAGACATGCATTCATGATAAAAGGCTACAACATAACATATCAAAATAGTATTTTGTTTTATGATACTGGAGACTGAATCCAAGACGTTTGGATTAAATATAACAAAAATATACCATTAAATATAACATAATATAACTTAATGTTATATTAATCTTTCTTCTACTATTAAAACTGCTATGTAACTGATCTGTATTCCCAACCATAAATTGTTTTCTTTTTTGAGAAATGGTCTTGCTTAGTTGCTAAATTGTCCAAGCTGGACTTGACCTTGGAAAGATCCTGCCTCAGCCTCCCAGAGTACTAGTGTTACAGGGTCATGCTAAGAATCCCAGCTAAAATTAGATGTTTTTCTTTTTAAAATCTGAATTATAGGAGTAATATTTGACATTTGTCTGTGTTTCTCACTGTTTATCTTGTAAGTTGACTTGTAAAAAATGCACTTCACATTTGTGATTATTTCCTAAATTTCCTGATTTAGTGAATACATGAACTTACCTAAATATTTTTGTCTACATACATATATATATATGCACATATTCATACACATGCACTTAGTGAGGAAATCAATTAAATGTTAAGTGAACTTCTAAATCACAGTTATCATTGCAGAAGTTCAAATGATGATTAGGCAAGGAAATATTTAAGAAATGTCAGTACCATCCCTTCAGATACATACACATGTACATATAAAATGTACTTTTTAAGATTAGTTACACCAAAGTAAAATTATCACACCTCACTAATAAAATATTGATATATTTGGGATTCAAAAATCTGTTGCTTGGCAGAGGAAAACCTCCCGCACGAAGAAATGTAAGGAGCAAACAGTCATCATTAATCATTGAGATTAGTAACAGAACACAGCTAGGGAAGAGCGCCTTCCGCAGGCCACGCTGAATGGGTTTCTGCAGCTCTCCCTCAGCGAGATCATAGCAAGACCCAGCACGGAAGTGCTCCTTCCTCCGTGTGCACCTCCGGAGCTGTTTACAGAAATTAGTTCATTGCCTTCTCAGGACAGTTCTGCAGGTGCCTGTTGGTGGCTGTGACTACTGCTTTGTGGAGGGACAAAACTGAGGCCCAGGAAGGGTAAATAAGTTGTCTGAGGTTATCCCACACCTGGCTGCGGGTGAGGGCTGCGGCCGAGGCAGCCTGGCTTCGGAGCCTGTGGTCTGATTGCGGGCACACTGCGTCAGGACAGTGGTCTTGGAATGCACGTTTCTGTGATGTATGTAGGGAAGGGGCTTGAACAGGCCTTGATTTTTCTGCTAATTTTCATTAGGGAAATCTTTGCATCAGTTCCGAATCCTATCTTTTGTTTATAGTTAATTCGTTTTGGAAAAAAGAACTAATTTTAAATATTTTCACATTTAGCAATGAGAGAAATGATCATAGTACTGAAACCTAACTTGTACTTTGACCAAACCCTGTCGGCATCTTGCGTGCTGACCTCACTGCTAACCAGAATCAGCGCTGGAGGCATCTCAGCTCATCTCCCTGCAAGAGGCTCTGCAGCGTGGAATATCCACGACCCCAGTGCTCAGCCTTCAAGGTCCACTAGAGAACTACGCAGTGGACTGTGCGGTCATGTACTTCCCACTCCAGTTTCACAGACTGCACTCCTAGCCTCCACGGTGATAGCGCCAGGAGGCCACAGCCCTTTAGACCTGATTAGGTCACAGGGCAGGATCATCGTGATTGATGCCCTCTGTAAGAAGTCACACAGAGACTTCTCCGCTGTGAGATGAGAAGGTGGCTGTCTAGGGGAGGCTGACATGGCCCTTCTGGGAACCCGCAAGCATCTGCCGTTTATAAACCACTCAGCGGAGCGCTGTCCTGATGGAGCATCTTGCATGGTGTAGACAAACTTTCTGTTCTCTCTTTAGGCTTTTCCTGGTGAGTGACTGATGACGGCAAGATCCTACAGCTTCCTGCTGAATTCAGGGCTCCTCCAAAGGGCAGGTATTGCTTGGGGAATCCCCATAGCTCTGCTCCAACGTGGGGCATCGTGATAGAACGCGCCCCATGAGTCTTTTCCTAACGCTGTTTCCTGGAGGCAGAACTGTGCTGCAGCAGCAGGCCCTGGGCACATCCACTCTCCCCACTCGGCATTCACAGAGGTCTCTCCCAAACCTCCTAGCATTGATTTCTTGGAGGATATGAGCAGAAAAAAATTATGGAATGAGAAGATTCAAGAAATTAGAGGAAGAGGTAATGATCTGGGGAAGCTATTATAAGAAATGCTTGTTCTTCAAAGGTGTGATAAAGTTCCAAGAAATAAAATAATGTGGTTTCCCCCCCCCCCTTTGTATTTCACTGTCCTTCTAACGCTAACCATAGCCACCTAGGGTAAATCCAGGGTGGTAAGTATGATGGTCTTGCAAATTTGCAATGCAGCCGGGATAAGTGCCCTTGCCTGCTCTCCCATCTCTCCCTGCCTCGTTTGCTTTGCCTAATGAGATGGAGACTAAATTTTTCGAAGTGAAAACAACTTTCTTCATTTTGCATATGCTGTGCAGTTACATGTGAAACTGTGTCTCTGTGTTGGATGCATCCATGAGCACAATTAGGATGTGGAAACAAAACACTTAATTAGGATGAAATGTCAGACAAGCGCCGCATCTGTGCTGTAAATATACGTGGAGCAGCCCCTGTCTTTGTGGTAGTTTTCATTTGTCCACACATCAGCTGAGTTTCCTTCAAATGATGCTGGATGTCCTTTCAAATAAATGATTATTTGATCTCTGTATATCCATGGTTAGTGGAAACATTAATGAACATAAATGTACTTTTAACAGCACAAGGAGAGTTAGTCTGGAGAAGGCAAAGGAAGCTTCAGCCAGGAACTATCTAAAGTTTGTATCTCAGGTTTGCACACTTAGCAACTGTTATTTGTAACGGGACACCAGGGACTTTCAGCTGTAGCACAAGGAACATGGCATGCTGGGCTTGAGCCATGCAGCACCTCCGGGATTACCAGAGCTGGGGCCCGATAGGCTCCCCGAGGGCACCCGCTGGAGCTGCTGGAACCCCACCTCCGGGGGGACCCCAGCACCCGTTGTGCTCTCCGTGGCTGCTCCTCCTGTCGGTGCCCCTGCCTGGCGAGGTGGCATCGCTTCCCTACGTAGCCTGGTGCACAGACACATCTTCCTGTCGGGCCGCACTGCTGTGACACAGAGCCCAGGGGACTGCAGTCACACAGCACACAGAGCCGCTTCAACGGGTCCCACCACATATTAGGCTTTAAAGCCAAGAAGAGAATGAAAGGAAAAGAAAACAGAAGAAGAGC